AATCAGCGTAACCAGCCAGTTGCGGTGCAAGCTTTGTCGCATCGCGTGCCGGAGAAAGTGGCGCAGCGCATCTGTACCGCAGCAACTGTAGAACTGCACCCACGGAGATTAGACCGGTTTGTAATGATGAGCCGCGAGTCTACTTATTTCTTGGACTGCATGAACCATGAACAGTGCTTCCCCGACTGGCTGTGCTGCCGGCCTGCTGCGCTGCGCAGCCTGACGATGTCGGCGCTCCGTCTCCAGGCAGCGAACCGGCGCTGATCGACAGCAACCGGAGCTCACTGCTCTCCAACATGTCCTCGTCCTCGGAGGACTCGGACGGCGGGTACCGGGGGCCGACGGTCGGTCTGGCCCGCGCCCGGGTCGACTACGTGCCCAGTCCGTACGACCGCGAGGCGCTCCGGTTCAGCCGCGGCGACACCATCCACGTCATCAGCATGAACCCGAGCGGCCTGTGGCGGGGCGCGCTGCACGGACGCGTGGGCACCTTCAAGTTCATCAACGTGGAGGTGCTGCCGGCCGAGGAGCGGGCGCGTCAGTCGGCGGCGCCGCCGCTCCAGGGCCGGCCCAGCTCCGTGCCGCATCTGCTGGAGCAGCTCGGCGTGCCGGTCAGTAGGCCATGATGACGCAGCTGCTGCAGTGTCGGTTGCCACATTTCGCGTGATTGTTGTTGAGCTGCATTTGCCCAAATTAACTCGACCTCAGGAGCGTGTTTGTCCCGCTGTCACGCGAACGCTTTGTGGTTAGGAGCCTATCCACACTTAAAGAGGTCGCTAACTGGAGCTATGGACAAATTGAGGCGCCATCGGTTTGTTGCGTGACTTTTGTGACGTTAACTATGATAACGTACCATACCATGAAATTTCCATTTTAAACTGAGGTCGGTGTTGGTTTAGCCGCTGATCAATAGGGTAGCCGCAGAAAGCGGCTAACTAGCCAACCAGCCGGGTCGGCTAGCCACAGGAGGTGACTAGCCGACGTGACTAGTGACTGTGTCTGCACGGATTTCGGCCGTGTATTTGTTATGCATAAGTCGGGTCCGGTAACTATTCAGCCTCGGTTTGATTCGCACAGGCGCGAAATTGATTCAGTTAGATTTGTTTTGTAATTACACGCTAACTGTTTGGTGGTATTGGAACACGTACCGTAAAGTTTAATCCCAGCGGAAATATCGGGAAATCCCATTGTGAAATATAAAAAAGTCTTGACATTTATGGAAAAACATAAATGACGCATTAAAGCAGCTTATCGTTTGTTGAGGGAGATATCGCGGTTGTTATCGTTTCTTGAAGCCACCTTTGGATTGGCAACCAAGGTTAGCGACTTTTACAGGGTGGCGAGATTCTACCCAAGTAACCCTTCGGCTCCTGCACGGTCGTGCAAGGCCTTGGGAAGTTTCGGAAGGCCTGGCGCAGCTTCGGAACTTTGCGAAAATCATGGGCGATAGGCGTTGTTCTTGGGATGGCGGGATACATTGATACTGAGCTTATCAAATCAAAAAGATGATAAGTACATTGCACACTCCGTGCCCAAGCGTGCAACCAATTGTGGAGCTCTGCATTAGTTATCAGCCAATAGCTGGTCGCAAAATCGACCAGCCGTCTAGTCGCTGGATAGGCTGGCCGCCGACGCAAATGCCGAGCAGCCGCAACCAGCATGGCTGGGAACATTGTAAACGGTGTGGTATTTGGCACTACTTACGAATGGGATGGCATCGCCAGTGAAGGAGACTGGGTGTTGTCTATAAGTGGAGGGAAACGAACGGAACCATCAACCTAGGCATGCGCACAAAAAAGAAACTAATGGGCTTTTCATACTAAAGCCAGGATGGAGAAAAGACAGCGAACGGGCCAACGGGCACAGGCGAATTACCAGAAGCATATTTCTGGCTCGGCTGTGACTTTCTCAGCCCTCTTCACCTTATACTCTTCAGTACTGGTTATATGTACGCATCCTGAATCCTTAAGCTTCTGCTTTAAAAAATACCGTCGATGTAGTAAAATGACAGCTACTGAAGTGGACTCGCTACGCTGTCTCGTGAGCAGGCAGACAGAAAAGCCAAATGGCGTGCAGACCATTGTTTTCAAAACCATATTGTTCTTACTTTCAAGGAATTTGTCAAACTTGACTAAATAAGGTGGCTGCGACTGGCCTTAGGCTTTCCTCGGGCTCCCACTGCGCAAGAAGTTCCGAGCAATCGGCTCTTCGTGAACAGGAATGTACAGGTACACTGGAACTGGCCTACTGCAGTCATCGACGATTTGCAACAATAAAAAACTCGTAGTTCCAGTAGTTGAGGATGCAAGCAAAAAGCCGAGGCAACCATGCATTGCATAGCCTTTCAGATGACCATATACACCATTAAGGCTCGGCAGTTTTTGGAGACACCCTTCGTTTTGGGGATATAAGCTAGCGGCCTGATATCACCAGCTTTGACCAACAGCTGATGTGAATGTATGCCCTTCACCAACTGGTACAGAGTAATACCCTCAGAGACCGGAATTGGTAAGTGTCACTCAACGTGTGTGCATAGCAGCCACGTAGTTATATTCGCTTTTGTTATGGACTTAGGCAATGACAGCCATATTCCTTCACCCACGATTGATCTGTATGATAAGCTGTGTTATTGCAACTTAAGAAAATATGGCACCCCTCATTTCTTCCTTATCCCTATTCTTTACATCCTTTATTAAGGTGACAAAATTGTGCACCGCGTAAACAAGCAACGATTGACATCAACAGCAAAGTGACCCCGTATGTATATACTTTGTTTACGATTTGTGTGTTAGAGATGGTGTTTTGTTACAAGTTTGACAAGCTACGAGTATTATGATGTAGAGCCCAGACTTGTCCCTGATTCCTCTTACGTGCAATTTTTTCGAATCCGAACCCAAAAATTAGAGCCGAATTGGAACAGGAGATAGCTTCCCAAATACATATATATATATATATATAGATATAGATATAGATAGATATATATATATATATATTATATATATATATATATATATATGCGTCTGCATGAACTCTTTTCAAAAGCCAAGATTGCTTTTTAACTGATAAAAGTGGATAGGCCAATATAGATGAATTATTATAAATTCGTGCAAAGAAACAGAAGCACGAATGTGAAGGAGCATGAAATATGATATTCGAGGGAACTTGAAGACATCGGCAAGTCCGGTTTAATGGCAAAGGCTCCTGCCCTCCATATCAAAATGCGCGACTTTGAGCACTCGTATCTCCCATCTCCCCTGGGGATGAGTGAGGTTTCGAGCAGATTGCTCAAAGCTTACATGCTATATTTATATAAGCACAACTTAAATAGTAGCTCACGTTATGAAGCGCCACGCGGACCATGTAAACACCCAAAGGTTATGGTTGAATCATCTTGTGAAGCGGGTATTTTCAGGGTGGAACCAGTTTAATTCTGATTGTCACAAACCATGCGAATCAATTTCGAAACAGACTAAATTGAGCTACCAATGGAGCCGAATCAAACCCAAGTCAAAGCGAAATCGATTCTTAAATCGAATCTGTATTTCATTAGAGTTAACTACAAGTCTGGTTCGAAAAGAAATCCTGTGTTAATTTGACGGTCTTGCCTACCGCATTGATACCCTGGGACTTAAAGATCGGCCATTGTTTTCCCCCGCTCTTGACCAGTTCTCGCCCCTGACAGGAGTACGCGCACATCTTCAGTCTGCACGGTTTCGATCGTGTGGAGGACTTCTACTCGTTGGAGGCGGAGCAGCTGTCCGACCTGGGTATCGTCGACCCCGAGCACCGGTCCAGCCTGCTCGGCGCCGCCCGTGCTCTCTCTGCTGACCCTGGTAGGCGCTCCTGCCCCTGCTTCCCCGCCCCCCCCCTCCCCCTCTGCGGAACGCCGCTGGGCAGTATCGCAGCCAGTATCGTCTAACGTGCCGTCGCGCTGCTGGAAGGTCAATGAGATGGACTTGCTTCGGGCAGGACAGCTTAAGTCTGGATTGTCATCGGTTGCGATTCATATGTATGGGGGCAACTGCCAGTGATGCGCCCCTGGTGGCGAGGTTAAATCAGTAAACTAAACCAGTAAACGTGACCAAAGCAGATGTACTAAGCCAGTCAACGCTCCCAGTGTCACGATGCTTTCATAGCACAAGGACGAATGCGGAATGAATAATGCATGTCGTCCGTGACTTGTTCATGTTTAACATCTGTGAAACCTCTTACGTTTGCAACCCAAGACCGATTTTTTGGTGAGCCCAATCCATTCCTCGTGTTGTGCTTTCCCGTGCCCTAAACGTTGTGTTGTGGTGTCTTGGTAAAAGGCGATGTTTTAGCGAAATTTAATCGCGCGTATTGCAGGGCAACCTTTGCAATCAGGGACTTTGACAAGCATAGTTTGGTGCGAATGCGCGCAACTTCACAAATCTAGCAAAACAATGTCGGTTCAGCGGACAATTTTCAGCTGAAATATTGTAACGTACGCCGCAATGCTACCGCGCACCGACGTCATTTGAGACGCAAACTTACTTTCTGTGTTGGATATTATCATTGGTGCATGTATCAAACACCCAACGAATGTCTTGATTCATGATTGGAAGTATAATGCGACCGGTACAGCTAACCACGGGATCACAATTTATATTAACTCCGGTTCTTAAGCTAATCGATTCACGATGCATGCCTCCAGCGGTGTTCGTAGACGTCGGGTCCCGAAAAATCGCCTGTCCCGCTCACCCGGCACCTAGCCATGCGTGCCTACCGTGCGCCCCGGCGCTCAGGCGCGTACATCACGGGGCCATGACCAACGCAACCGTAAAATGAAGCAGCGCGTGTGATGTGGTCGTGCGTGCTGAGCGTGGCCCCAGTTCATCCCGTGGTCGCCCGAATGAGCGCGGGAGAAGCGTTGAACGCGCACACCAATTAGATCCCCGCAGAAGTCGTAAATGCTTTACTGGCAGCTTTGAGCAGGAACTAGTCTTATGTTCAAAGACAGTGGTTGAGTGATGGTTTCTGTTCAACACAACTCTGTTTAAGATTTGGACTAATTCGTTGCGTGATTTGCTATGAAACTAGGGGCAGTCTGTCTGGGATGTTTGTTTTACTGTCATGGGCGTTATCAAACTAAGATCGTTATGAAACTCGGACCCATTCATCGTACCAGTGCAACTGTTGTTTAGCGGCGAGTTCTCGCAGAAAGGTTATACCGCGCTTTGTAACATGGTTGCAACATGGCCGCCCTGTTCAGTCACTCTGGGCCAGTGATAATGACTAGCATAGACGAGCCACTCAGGCGGGGTTTTGATAGCGCGAACTTACATGTCTGCCCCCATTGGTCAGTGTTCAGTACACTACCAATTGAACCGCAGGACGGCTGATGGGTACGCTCTGGAAAATCTTCGTCCCCACGGTCACACCAGCTGCCAAACAATGAAATTCAAAACGGTTTTCGCGGATTTTCAGCGCGAGAGATTAGTCACATTGAAACCGAGCAGAGCAGGGGTTGTACAGACGGCGAAATAGAGTACAGTAGCTGACCAGCGAGCGACAGTGTTTCCGTGCACAGTCGTGGAGAAGCACGGAGAAGCAGCGTCCCGGAGCCCAGTGTTACCTGTTCCTTTACACTGCCACAACCATGTTTGTGACCGCACAGTGTTGTGGACGATTTTCCGTCTGTGAGAGCTGACAGTGTTGGTGATCGGCTGTGTGCACCGCGTCACTTTTGACTGTCAGTGGCTGTCTTCAGACAATGCTGCGGCTGACCGCTAACCGCTGGCCCCCAGACGCCGGCAGCCCGCTCTCGCTGTGCGACTTCACTCAGCCGCTGCTCTCGGAGCTGATCCGCGACTCGGGCTGCTACGACGTCTGGCGGCTGACTGAGGAGACCGCCGCGCTGAAGGCCAGCTCACCGGCCGCGGCCGAACGCCAGCCGGCGGGTCGGGAGCCGGCCGACGGTGACGATGACGCCGACGGTGAAGGCGACGCCGACGCCGATGCTGACGCCGACGCCGACGCCGACGCCGATGCTGACGCCGATGCCGATGCCGATGCCGATGCCGATGCCGATGCCGATGCCGATGTCGACGCCGATGCTGACGCCAACGCCGACGCCGACGCCGACGCCGACGCCGACGCCGGCGGCCCAGACTCAGACGTCGAGCCGCCGCCGTCGCTCGTTCCCACCACTGCGGCCGATGACCGCTGCAGCGACCGGGCGGGAGGCCGCCGCGCCGCAGCCGCTCGACCCGACAGCCGAGCTTGACGGGCCCCGCAGCAGCGCCGAGCCGGCGGCCGAGCCAACGGCCGACACCGGGGCGGACGTGGTGCACGCGCGGCCCGCCGCCGTTCGCGCCTCCCCGCCGCGCCTGGACACCAGCCCCGTGGTCGACTTCGAGCGCAAGTTTCAGAACGCGCGCAGCGTGTTCGAACCGAACTGCGTGCGCCGTCAGATCCCGGTGGGGGTGCGGTCGCGGACGCACTTCAGCTCCCGCGAGCCAATCACCGTCGAGGACGAGGTGGCCGTGTGAGTGCGGTAGCGCGGATCTCGGCGCCGCGCAGTTGGCGACAGTCGGGCGCGTTATGTGACGCGCTGAACTTGGGCCGCTCCCGGAGTTTTATTTTCGGTGGCAGTCACCATGCAGTTATTCTGGAGCTCAATAAGTCTCAACCACTTTGAAGCGATGTTTGCGTCTTGTCACACCAGATGAGGCAAGTATATATTTTGAAGAGCTGTGATAGCGTTGCCCCTCGAATGAAATGAAGCACAAGACACGTAGCCAGAATTGTGTGCATAAAGACAAAGGGTTTTTAAGCCATGTTGCGTGCCGTATGTGCGTCACTCATAAGGCATCAGTCTGAGCAGGACAAAACGATGGTCCGCCTTAGTTAGACATGATAAGTCTTCCGTTGTCTGCCCAAGGCTATCATTGTCTGGTTGAGAAACGCGGGGGAAGATTTCACCTTTTGAGGCCCCTCCTTCATCACGTAGGCGCGGTTGCTATGTTTTGTCGAAA